CAAATATTCATACTCGAAGTCTTTTAGGTAGCCCGCTTGCATTCGCAGCATTTGGTGGAAACACAGAGATTGTGAAGATGTTCCTCGAGAAGGGAGCAAAAATAAATGATCGCGGACCTCTCGGCAGCCCGCTTCAGATAGCAGCGATGGCAGGAGAAAAAGAGGTAGTCGAGATGCTGCTTAACAAAGGTGCAAACATTGATGCCCGGGGAGGCCTATTTGGTAGTGCACTTCACGCAGCAGCAATGTTGGGGAATAAAGAGGTGGTGGAGTTTCTTCTTGAGAAGGGAGCAGATATCAACGCTCGGGCGTTGATAGCGCTTCCGCTTCTCGCAGACAAAGTACTCAAGTTGTTTGGAGGGATTCCGCCGATATCTCTGGAGAAGGGGTTAAAAGGCAGTTCTTGGAAGATTCATGGAACTGCACTTCAAGTAGCAGTGGCTTTTGGAAGGGAGGAAGTTGTGCAGCTACTGCTCGATAAAGGAGCAACGATTTAATACTTAGGAGGTTGTATTCAACATACAGACCATTCAGACTTTTTATATTAATGGAGTTTTCCGATGTTACAAACTCACTCAACCATTGACTCAGTTTTCCTTGCTTCAATCCATCAGCGGAGACGTCGTGTCAGCCGCTGGTGGCTATGAATGGCACTTTTGTCATGCCCCGCATTCAACTCCAAGCCACTATCACCCGCAGGATCAAAAGTCACGACAAGAAAACTTGAACATCTCAAATCACCTGCTTGAGCCGAGAAAAATGGGAGACTTCCAACCAGAAATGGACCGCGTGTAAGTCGTGTATCCAAATCTCTGAGAGAGGCAATAGTCTGATTACATCGCAGCAACTCATCGGGGACGATACCTGGCCTCCTTGATGCAACGCTTGACCAGCTCGCCGAGGGCCTCAAAGGTGGACATTTCGCCAGTGTTGAGCTCACAAAAGTAGGTAAAGGTAATTTCACTTTGTCAAAGGCACTTTCGCTCATCACCACAAGGCATACCTCGCGCGTATTGAGCAAGTAAACGAGGCAGTTCACGCCGTCGTCGAAACAAACCCCGATGCGCTCGACATTGCCAAGAGCCTCGATGAGGAGAGAGCCTCTGGCTCTATTCGAGGGTAAATTCACCAAAATTGCATGTTCACCAAACTCGCACTCACAGAGGATAGGCCACTTCACGGAATCCCAGTCCTGATCAAGAACAACATCGCCACGCATGACAAGATGGACACGACAGGTTTGCCCTCCAAACTATACCGTAACATAAACTTGACTGTGTCTCATTGTTTGAGTAGCTGGTTCGCAGCTTCTCATCGGCGCCACTGTCCCTCGAGATGCCTTTGTCGCGCAGAAGCTCCGTGAGGCGGGAGCTGTCATCCTAGGTAAAACCAACATGTCTCAATGGGCCAACTATCGCGCTCGCGACTACAGCATCAACGGCTGGTCATCTCACGGAGGCCAGACACTCGCCCCATATCACACCAAGCAGAATCCCTCTGGAAGTTCAAGCGGCAGTGCAGTAGCTGCTGATTTGGGCCTCGCGTGGGCGGCGCTTGGAAGTGAGACTGATGGATCGATTGTCTGTCCTGCACAGAGGAGCGGCATCGTAGGATTCAAGCCTACCGTTGGACTGACATCTAGGGCTCTTGTTATTCCAATTTCGGAGCACCAGGACACTGTTGGACCCATGGCGAGGACAGTCAAAGACGCAGCATATCTGCTACAGGCAATCGTTGGAGATGACCCCCATGACAAGTACACGGCCGCAATCCCTCGCATACCAGACTACGTCGCCGCATGCAAAGACACACTAGCAGGAGCCCGAATCGGCGTCCCCTGGAAAGCCATCGACCAAAGCCTAGAAAAAGACGCGCATCTTGCCTCAGAAGTCCAAGTCTTTAGAGAGACGCTCGCCATCCTAGAAGCCGCCGGCGCAACCATCGTCGAAGCCAACTTCGACTCAGCGATAAAGGACATCCGCGACGCCGAAAAGGTGATTATGAGGGCAGACTTTTACGCCAACGTTGCGTCCTACCTCGCCCAACTCACCTCGAATCCAAACAACATTCACACTCTCGCCGACATACGCGAGCAGACGCAGAAACACCCATTAGAGACATATCCGCAGCGTGACACAGGTATCTGGGACGATATCATCTTTGAGCAGGGGTGGGACAACACCGATCCGAGGTTCCAGCCGGCTTACGAGCGTCTCCAGGAACTTGGTGGCCCGGGCGGTCTCCCAGGGGTCCTGGACAAGCACAATCTGACCGCGGTGGTGATGCCGACAAGCATGGCTTCGATGTGGGCCGCCGTGATAGGAGCCCCAGCGATTACGGTGCCGATGGGCCATCACTCGGAGACGGAGCCGGTGCACGAGGATGGTGACCTGGTGGAAACGGGACCGGGGATTCCTTTTGGAGTGACCTTTATGGGAGACAAGTGGTCTGAGAAGACTTTGATTGGACTGGCATATGGATATGAGCAGAGGACCAAGGTGCGAAGCCAGCCGGTGAAGAGGGTGGCTGTACCGACGGCCGATATATGATTAGCATGTAAAGAAAAGAAGTTATAGAAGTAGCACCTAGATAGCGATTCATGCAGCTTCCTCTGTGGAGTTTCTCCAGCGATTTTAGAGGAGATGATCAACATGTTCGAATGATGTCGCGGCCTTTGACACTGCGGCATTCGAAGCAAAACCTGAACTTCATCATCTATCACAGCATCGTTAAGGGGATCAGGAGCTGTTTGTAGTGTAGAAAATGAGGTGTTCAGCTGTTAATTCACCTTGCTGTGGGCAGTATAGAGTAGTGCGACGTTGATTTTGAATCCAGGGACCATCGTTTAAGTTCAATGGGTCGTTCTCAGGCCCATTGTTATAGAAACCGGACCCATGTTTATCAACCTGGAGAAAATGTGTTCTAAGCAATTGCTTATAACACTCGTTAATTGGCACGATTGTGGAACAGCAAAGAGTAGTGTACAATCGGCTCTGTGGGCCGCCGCGACCATCCCGACGGACCACCACGCGGCTACGGAGCTGGTGGGTAAGAACGGCGCGGGCCTACGGAGAGAACGAGACCGGAGACGGGGGTTCCCTGTCGTGTTCACGATGAGGACTGTTTTGTTTTGACTTTTGGCCTTGAGCAGACAATCAAGATGTGAGGACGGCAGCATAAGGAGGGTGACGATAGAGATGAGAGCAGCACGATGTGAAACAGATGAAGTCATTGTACCAGCCCGTGATCATGGGAAGCTTTGTGGTTTCAAGCTTCATGGCTTGAAGCCTCATTTTTCCGAGATCCCGCACGAGCCGAAGCAAAGCTGGAAAGCCTTGCATAGCCAATAATAAGCTCGTGAACGAACCTTTTTTGCTGGTAAAAGGGCTTGATGAAAGGCATTTCCGGATTACTGGGGGCCCCGAATCCAGATTCAGCTGGCGGCAAGTAAGACGTCAATCTGCCCGGTGATGGGTTCTGACGTCACCGTATCTCAGTATTGCCTTGTTTTGGGTGTTCCCATGTGATGGATTAGGAGTTTTTTCTGTGAGTGTCATCGTGGAGACGATCATGAATAATGGGGGAACACAACAACGCCCTGCTTGCCCTACATACGCACAGCATCAGCATAACTGTTCGATACTTGGGACCGGCCAATCCGAGACCGCCCCCCATCTTTGACAAAACAAACACCCCCCGCGAATCGTCCAGTTCGCAGCAAGTACACATTGTGAAGGCGGCCCCTGCAGACAAGCGTCGTCGATCATCCCTCCTGACACTGACATATGCCGTGCCAAGAACCCCCCAAAGAGCTGCAGCGTCCCACACACTCGGAGAAAAGAAGAAAAAGTAAGAGTTGATCAGAAGGAGAATTTTAAAAAATAAGGTCAGAAAAATGCCTTGGCTGCCTATGAATCCTGTCAGACGTTGAGGGTTTTCCGTGTATAATCCCCTCCCCCCTCCTCCTTGAAAGTGCCCGTAAATGGGCGACTTCGCCATCATGATTGGCCGAAGGGCGAGGTTTCGAGGATGCGCCGCGACGTCATTGTTCGCCGAGGAGGGAGACAGATCCGGAACTGGCAATGGATCTATTGGATTGGCATGTTGAAGCTATTTGATTCTTGTCGCCTCTGCCGGTGATCCGTCTGTGAGTTATTATTTTTGGCTTTTTGGCTGGCTGTTGGCGTTGTACAGAGGCTGCCTTGTGCTGCCTTGAGGAACGTATTACATGTATCCGTGTACGTGTGTCGATGTAAGTTAAGAGGTTAGTCAAGTAGGCGTGGCGTGTTCTGTGGAATGCGCCTCGGTACTACCTAGACACAGAACGGGCTAATAAGAGACATTAGAAGGCAGAAAGAACAATTTTTTGCCGCTGGTTTTAAAGCTGGTGTAATAGCTGGTGGTGAGGCGCCATGTCATGCCACTGCCTGGTTGCCACAACGCAGGGAATTACTCAAAGTGTCTTAGCATCACCCATCATGGAGAATACACTTTTCGGCCTTTTATTTTCCTTGTCTTTCTTCTTCTTTTTTCTTACAGTATTTCCCAGTTGAGTCACAGTACTGTACTGCAGTTGTCACTGAGGTAGTTGTCACTGTCACACTCAGTGTCACTCATCAAGTGACTTTATGCAGCTTTATGCACATATGCTCCACTCAATGCATCAACGCACAAATCATGCACAAGCCGCGTCATAACCCGCCCCACTCCTCCACACCCACACAACAACCGGCAAGGTACGAGGTACGTACCACCGCGTACCTCGTATAACCTCGTCCAAGCAAGACGTGCAACCAAACAAGCGCAATAAATCGAAAAAAAAAAAAAATCTGCACCTCTACAGCAGTCTCTACCAATCTCACGCAAAAAGCGCCAAATTGCAGCCTCGAAGCGTGCGAATTGGCCCATCTCAGCTAAACAGCATCATCTACATTCCCCAGACTTTTGCCTTCTTCTTTTTTTTTCTCCTCTCTTCCCGCACCCTCCAAATCCTATTTTAAGCACAAAAAGAAGAAAAAAGCAAACTAGCCTCAGTCCGCCAAATACGAAGGAATGCCACCCTCCGTTGCAAGCCACAGGCTTTTTCTGGTGTTGGTGTTGGCGCCACTAAAAGCTGGTTTGGCGTGTCTGCAGAGTGCAGCAGTACGTTATGCAAGGTGTGTATAAACGCCCGCTTGTGTGTGTGTGCATCGTCTACATGGTGCTTGGAGGGAATGATTTTGTTTGTCTTTGTTTGCGCAACCCCTACTGCATGACCTCCCCGGATTTTCAAAAGGTGATCTGTGATGGATTGATGGGGAGGGAAATGGGGGGGGTTGTATTACAGCATGTACGAGGACAGGAATTTGATAGATGACGAGATGCTGGCCGTATTACTCTTGCAAATGCCCGAATTGGGTAACTCTCGAGGGAATCCAGAGAGTAAGAATACTGCTCTGTAACATGTAAGCCGAGGTGGGATGATTCAGTCTGTCTTCACATTACGTCGGGTCCAACAGCTGCTGTACATACTCGTACAGTACAGCATCCATCCTTTCTTGTTGCTGTAACCCAACTTCGTCCCTCCAAATGCCGTCTTAGCGCCCTGCAACGATGCAGCTCCAGGTCATGATCCATCGTCATCTGCAAAAGGTGGTGCTTGCCAACCACCGACCTGCAGCCAGCCAGCCATTATTCCCATCTGTCTCATCTTGCGCGTCTCTCTCCTCTCGCTCTTCGCTCTTCTTCCTCTTCTATTTCATTCTCATCATCATCATCTACTACATCCCAATGTACAAAATACAAACCCATCTAGCTCAACAACATAGTGCCACGTCAAAACCCTATTCCCAACTCTTTTTCTTCTCTTCCCATCTACACGGTACCTCATACATGCCAACTTTCCATCTACGCGTACTGCAACCACCCGCAGAAAAATACTGTATTCGTCCATCCATTGGCCACGCAAAAAGACCCCAAAGCCCAGCATCACTCTCCTCTCTCTGCCCATGTCCGACTTGTTTTTTTCTTCCCTTCCACTTGCAGCAAGTCAGTCCAGTCTTTCTCCACCTTCCCAACTCCTCCCTACATCCCCACAAATAAAAAGGGAACCACCTACCTCAAGTCCCCGTCTAAAAGAAGACAAGGGGGGGCAAGCAAGAAAAAAAAACCCAAAAAAAACATCCAATGTAAAAACAACTCCACCAAAAGCAAGGAAGACGAGCAAAAAAAAAAAAAAAAAAACAAGCACAATAAAAACGTAAAAACACAAGAAACGTACCATGTACCATGTACTCATAACAAGTATACGCCCCTCAACCATAAAATCCCAGCCAGCGGAGCCACCGGAACCCGCCCAGCTCCTTCTGTAACGTCCTCCCGTCGGCTTGTACGAGTACTGTACACTATACTCCGGATTACCGCTAGGAAAAGGCGCCGTAGTTGGTACTACTAAGCTCGGAGGTACTTGGACTCCGTAACTTGGCCTTGTACCTTCACCTGAATGGCATCCTCACTGGTACGCTTAGCCAGGACCAGGGCCATGATTCTCTTAGTCAACGAGAACAAAAACATGGCCGCACAACTTGGCCTGGAACTGCAAGTCGCTCGCGGAAGCTCGGATACAGCGGGTCTCAGCAGGTCTTGTTTAATTCCTTCAGTGGAAGTAGAGGTACCGGGGTTCAGTACATCTTGGTACAGTCTGAAGGTGTCTCCAGCGACAGCCCGCACTTTACATGAGAGCGGTAAGCAGCGTAGCGTAGCTCAGTGCAGCTCCAGTTCTGCTGTCAAAAACATCCATATTCAAAGCCATTGAATTCTACAACATGTCAAGTTCGGTGATAATTAAATAGAATAAAAACAGTCATAGATATCACATTGCAAGTCACAATCAAAAACGCGCGAAAAGCTTGTTTGTAATCATAAAAAAGTCGTCCGAAGACATTAGCATTAAAGCCAGTAATCTGGTATATTTTGTGTATTACACTCCCTCGAAAGGGCGCACGATCCAAAGCCAACAAAAAAAGTCGTCTGGGGGTCCAGCTCATATGTTCATCACACCGTTATCCTTCCATCTCACCAAACCGTTCCAGTAATCCGAAGTCCTCCAAACATCGTCACCCTTCCAATCTCGTCGTTCATTGTCAAACCCTTTACAGGGCAAAGGCGCAGAGAGCGGCGATGAAGGCGAGGCCGGGCAGGATGGTGGAAGCGCCGTTGGTGGGGGCAGTGGGAGCACCAGTGGTGGTCTTGTTGCCAGCGGGAGGAGGAACGCCAGTGCCAGTGCCGACGGGGACGACGGGGGTGGTCTGGGCAGCAGAGGTGGTCTGGGCGGGAGCAGAGCTGGGGGGAGCGCTGGCGACAGAGGACTGGGCAGCAGAGGAAGACTGGGCAGCAGAAGAAGACTGAGCGGCAGAGGTGGTCTGCTGGGCGGGGGTGGTGTTGGCAGCAGAGGAAGAGCCAGAGCCGGAAGAGCCAGAGCCAGAGTTGGCGGCGCAGAGAGCCTGAGTGGCGGGGAGGACCTTGTCTGTAGCGAATTGGTTAATACATGAAGCTCCTTTTCATCTCAGATCGACCAGAGGAAACATACTGATGGCAACGTCGGTACCGCACTTCTCAACGACACAGCCGGTGGCAGCGCCTTGGACAGCGTTGAAGTCCTTGCAGATGCAGACGTAGTCGGTGGTGGAGCACTTGGTGTTGGCCTTGACGGCGTCGTCGAGGCAGGGCAGAGCGCAGGATGGGATATCAGCGCGAGTCTGAGCCTGGGCCAGAGCGGCGAGAGCAACAGCAACGAAAGCGGCCTTCATCTTGTCGGTATTGAAGTGTTTTGGGGGTGGGTGTATTAAGTTGTTTTTTTGTGAGTTTTTTGGTTTAGTGTTCAGACAACGAATGTAGCTGGACTGTGAAAGCGAGCGAGTGGATGGAGAAGAAAAAGAAGAAAGGAGAAAAGAAAGGCTTCGGAGATGGAGGGAAGCCTCTTTATGTACTGTTGTGAGAGTCCGTCCTTCTTTCTTGTCCTTGTCCCGTCAAGGTCGAGTCAACCAACCTTGGCTTGAGCTTTCCTTGCCTTAGCCTGAGTGCAAGCCGTGTGTGGCTCCTGGTCTCAGCTGGGGCCGCACGCCCCTCCCCTTCGATCGTCGGGCCGGGGGTGCAAAATGAAGGACAAGGCTAGCACAGCACGGCCTAGCAGGGCCGAAAGAGCGACAAGGGCCGTCAAGGTTTAGCTTCAATTCACGTCCACTGTTGATGCTGTTGATGGAGTTGGTTTGGCTGCAAAAGTATGGGCAGAATGTACCGCGATGGACCGAGCAGTACCGCAATAGAAAGTACCTGGCTGCCAAGTCGTGGCGGTGCGCTCGCCGCCGTGGCTCGATGCTGCGTCTACCAGCGGTACAAGTACCTGGGGCGCCAGCTTGGACAAAACATACACACTACGGAGGTACAGGTATACACTACGGAGCGCGACTTCTTCTCTGGGCAGCCACGCAGAGCATGGAGAGCAAGAGGCTGGTGGGGTGGGTTGCTGTGCCACACGGGCCATTCATTACAGGGGCTTGCCAGGTGCCAGTGACTTGACAATTTGGTGACAATCACTAACAACGTCAAGTAACTGAAACTTACTTGCTCCAGCAGCAGGCAGACGTGTTAGTGAAGATTGGAGCGTGGCAAGCCAACCTCGTCCGGAAACAGGGGGGCTGGCTGGGATGGGCTGTGGCCTAACCTCATCTGCTACACACGGCCGAGCCGGGCAACCCAGCGATCGACGGCCTTGGCTTTTGTATGGGGGGATGACTGCAGTTGGCTCGGACACGCGCTGTAACAGGTACTGCTGGATGTGTTGATGGCTGCTGTCGATGTCAGGTCACTGTTACTGTTACTCCTACTGCAGCATCAATTGTGCCGACTTTTACGAGGCCAGTTTCAAGAGTTGGCCCAGGTGAGGTTACATGCCCCCAGGAAAACATGTGAATGCTCACTCACATCCAGCCGCGGATTGGGACCTCACGCTTCCCCGTCAATGCAAAAAAAGAGTCTCTCTCTCCAGCTACTGTAATAAACGAGCAACGGGGATGCCGCACGACGACCCGACGGGCCCAGTTTGCCCAGCTTCGCTTCTCCCCATTGGCCTCGTGGCGGAAATTGCCAGTTGATCAAATCGAAAGAGCTCCAACTTCACCAGATCCAATTGTTCTTCGTCGTCGGCACGCATCACTGCCATTGGCCCAGCCCCCAAAAGCCCAGCAGCCCTGCCTCTCGCCTTTTGCAATCCCAGATCTGGGGTTTTCATGTGCAACCGTGGTTGGCCAGCTGCAACTGCTGCGGCCGTCTTTTTGCCTCCGCATCGTGCGTGTGGTGTGTGTGTGAGTGGGCAGTACTAGCAGTCACTGTTGCAAAAGCGCACGTAACCTTGCATTCGCGCTGTGGCTGGGGCTGCGACTCTATTTCACTGGCTATGTCATTGATGGCATCACATTCAATGCGAGTATTTTGTGACAATTGACCTCCCAGCGGCCAGTGCTGTCATTGTTTGTTGGACTGGCCGACATCAAGAATCAATCTCAGTCTCAACGCAAGTTTCGAGAAAAACGAGGTGCCAAAGGACCATCCAACTTCGGTTTAGGTTCGGCCGAATTTGCTGGCCATTGATGACTTCAGGTTATTCCCCCAGCTACCAACAGCCTGCTACGGCGCTGTAATTCCTTCGTCCAAGGCGTCCCCCTTCAGTGGCCACAGCGCCCCGACGGCCTGTGGCAAACCGTTACAGCGACCACCAGGCCTGTAAGCCCCTCCCCAGCGGCCCCCACCGCCCATGTACAGGGCAGGTACCTTATGCGCAGAATGCGGATCTCAACCCTCTTGGCCGATCCAAGTCATTCATCTTTTCGTCAGCATCATGTCACCACGACGTGCCGGAGATATGCTCGGCGGCGTCATTCAGGCCACCAGCACAATACCTGCGCCGGGCTATGCCGCCTTGAGTCACCCCAGCCTACGCTTTGCTCGATTCTGCAGGCACACACGCCGGTCTTCAGCCTGTTTTGTCTCCCCAACTTGCAAAAGAGCGCTACGAACTGGCGGAGAAACTGAAGCGGCGCGCCCTCCTGGGAAAAATTCAGCGATCGTCGGACCTCGCTCTGCCCATTCCATCCACAAGCCCGACTTTCCGCCAAGGTTCGAGAAGCTAGCTCTGGCAAAGGGGAGGCTTCGAAACGAGGCGAACAATAGGCTTGACGGCTTGGAATGGGGTGGCGGCTCCACCAAGTGACGCTTGGCTCAGACACGGACGGGAAATGGGCAAAAGAACTTTGTGACTGTGGTCTATGACAAAAGAGAAACGGGAAAGCAGAAACCGCCTGATGCAGGAACAGGACTCGAAAACGCGCATGAGCTGAGCCCATCAGCAATAGTCTGCTAGCCCTGCTGCTGCTCCTTACCCAGACCAGACTTGTCAACGGTTGGAGACAAAAAAAAAAGTTGGCCAAGCTCGCCGCCATTCCTCTTCCAAACCCACAACCCGGCTCGCAAGAATCAACTCAACTGTTCGCTTCGCCAAAAGCTCCTCGACACAAATCCCCGGCCTATCCCATCCCCGGTCCTGGTCAACCATGACCATGACCTCGCTAAGTCGAGCAGAGAGCGAATCGGGCTCGAAAAGTCCGGGGAACAGGGAGGGTCAGCGAGCGCTTGGGAGACAGGAGACAGGGCCTGAATCGCTCTCCCATCCATCGTCTCCTCGACGCAATTTCCCCCGCAGCTTCACCCCCTGACGCCAGTTGCTTATCCCAGGCGCCTGATCCGATGGGATCTCCATATGGTCCACGGCCCATCGGCTAGTTTGCTCTAGCCCTGGCTTTTTTGCAACTTGGCTACCAGCCAATCTCCAACATGTCAATAATATGCGGGCCAGCATGCAGCCAGCGCCAACCAAGTTTTTTTGTCCTTCTCGTTGCTTCTGCTCCCTCTGCCCCTGGTCTGGTCCGCCATGCTTCGCTCCTCCTCCTCCTCACACGCTTTGCACACACTCCCCCCTCTCGTTCCACTAGCCCAGTTGGTACAGCTTCACCTCTCTCGAGCGCGCCGTGCCGAGGCCAATAGCGTGCGCATGTAAATCCCTTTTCACCATGTGATACTGGGGGCAGAGCAGGACGCGGTCTGCAGAGCATTTGATCTTCAAATTATTGACTTTCCGTTAATAGGGGCGGCACGAACGCCACCAATCTCTACGCCGTTTGGCGGTAGACTGTAAGGGATGGTCGGACACCGATCGCAATCTGATCAAAATTATGCTCTCCTACCGCGTGCATACCGACCCAGAACCAGAGATGATTTCATGCGGGCCCTGTCCAGCGAAGAGTCCACTGGTACTCGGTACATACATTCAGGTAGTCAGATCTGGTGGTACGGAGTATCGTACAGTAACGGAGGACTTCCGTCGACGAGAATTGGCTCTCTCTTCCTTCTGGCGTGCCACGGAGCAAAGCCCCAGTCTGGCATGAGGCCATGACACAGGACCCGTGTGGGTAGTCGTGACTTGCTTGGATCCTTGCTATGCCATGCCATCCATCGAATTGGCGAGTGCCGCAGATCAGAAAAACAGCCGATGAGAGCTTGTTCTCACGTTTTGCTTCAGAGATGCCGCTGTGCCCAATGCCCCTCTCTCTCCATCCTGCCGAGATGCTACTTCGTGTAATGCCTCCCTGTCCCGTCGAGTCTCAGTGTTGGTCAGAGTCAGGCCACCCGCGTGCAGCCGGAGTCGGGTAATGCTCCGAATCAGCCAACTGACTCTTGACTCTAGATCCAGAGACGATTCAAGCTTGGAAGCTGCAGGGTTTGGATTTTTTTTTAGTGGGCAAATCCACGGCGCGGCATCATTTCCGGGCCTGTCCAAGCAGCGACTGGTAGGTATTACTCGTACATACAGTAGGTGGTATTGCTCTCTGCTCTCACCAACAGCAATCTTACTGGGTACGAGAAGCAAAAGTGCTTCGCGCTACACGTTGGCTGGCGGCTTGAGCTTGTCCTCGTTTGGGTCCGTTCTCGCAGGATCTGCATTTCTAGCCGCGAGGGAGAAAGATGCGATGTTACTCTCCTCGTGGCAAATGCTCTTCATGTTGCTATTCTTAACATACATACTTCTGCTAGCACAAGGACTTGATCGCCAAAATGCACTGCCGGCAACCATTACAGAGAAATCATTTGACTCTCGGAGATTGAACATGCTTTACCTGATGCAGCCCGTTGCTGTCACGGTTTCAATTGGACGCTACAAAAATTGGCCCGAGAAGCCAATATCCTTGCTGGACTGGTGGACAAGGCACGGCCCCAATGCTGCTCGTGGACGGAAATTCAGTGTGGAGTGCACTAATAGTGCTGTGCCTCGTTTATAGTCTGTACGACTTGCACAAGGCCGACATTACCATGTGTTACATACAGTGTTATACCTTGCAGGGGGATGACTTCTGAGACGACCGTTCATCTTTTGGTGTTGACCAGAGCAGATGGGATCGGAAGCTTCAGCTGCACGGCTCAAACTCTATTCTCTTCTCTCTCTTTCTTCCTTCTCGAGGCGTCTACGCTGACTGTCAATCAACAAGGATCTCGATTCAGATCGCGTTCCTGAGCCGTTTTTTCCCGTTTCTTGTCCGTGCGAAGTCAATTCGACAATCTGCATACGAGCAACAGGAATGACTTTCAAGGTCGAAGCGCCCGGACGGGCTCTACATGCAGCACGGTAGCGAAAAATACGAGTCAAAGCTCCTCCTTCCGAACTGACTACGCCCTTTCTGCGACAAAGGCAAATGAAGAGTACGAGATGAACTTTTGCCTTGCCGGGGAACGTTTGTTCCTGTGAGGAATCCATGCATTTTGCACGAGGCCGCGAGCATCTAGATCTCCCTGCTCCCATGGAAATCAGGGGTTCAGTCGGTGATGAACTGGTGTCCGGCGGCTGTGGCAACAGTCACAATATATCCCCCCCCCCCTTACAGATGAATGGCGCTGGTGAGTTGGTCGATCCCGTGTTCCCCTGGATGGGCGACACGGCTCGTCTTGCTGGACTCCATCATGCTGCAGGTGGCGGGCAAGCCACAGCTGAGAATACTCGCATGGACGGCCGCTCCCATTGCTTCCCTTGGCCATCTGTACCTCCTTCATAGGATTCGCTGCGACAACCGGCACTACTGCCAGGCTGTGTTGTGTGTGTGATCTCGAGAACCGAGACAGCAGGTGTGCATATGTCTTGCAAAGAAGCCCCAACACTGCAGCTGTCTCACCGATGGCTTCCATGACACGTCCAGGTGGTACAATCGGAGCGGGAGTGTCACTTTTATCGTCTTATTACTCCGAGAACGCGGCATGCTGTCTCAACATGCGAAACGCCTTGACCCATATATGGCGCCTCTAATTCGACTCCCTTGATGTCTCGGACCAAGCCCTTGGAGAGTTCACGAGGATGATCCCATACGAATTATTGGTCTGCAGATCGATGTGCGAGTTCACCTAATGTACGAAATACTGCATCGATGGTCAAATACGATGAGCTCTTGCCGATGGCCCGAAGATTTCATTTGCTCTCCCTTTTTTCCCAGCCGTGTCCTGAGGGCCGTACGTAAGCACCATTAATGCAGCGCTGAAACGCTATAGCCACACGCCCCCTTGGTGAATCCGAGGCTCTGGATGGGGATTGGGGGATGCAAGTTCTATTTTTGTGGTGGCGATGCGAGAAGAGGCTGGGACGTGCGTCTGAGACATGACTTGGAAGGATTCTGTTGGCGTTGGGAAGGTGAGTCGTACGTACGGCTATGCAGAGCACAGAGTCTATTTGTGCTTGTAGCTAGTATTTTTGCTTTTGGTGCGTGATAGGTTGATGATTTGATGGTTTAATGGTTTGATGGCCACGTAAGATGTATGCATGTGCTTCGTATATGTAGAGATGTTGTCTTGATATGAGCTTGATTGGGAGGATATTGTAAGTTGCTGGTGGCTGGGAGGAATATCACGGCCAGTAGAAGGGAGTGCTTAGGGGTGCATTAGTAGACTTCGTGCATCGTTTGTGACTGCTCGCGTGTTCTTCTCTTCCTATTTTCTTGAAGTTTTTTTACTTGGAGAATACTCAGACGGAAGAGTTTAGGGTTTGGTCTTCTTGTCCGAGGGATGATATACTGCCGAGAAGTCAATCAACAAATACGTTATAGATGAGATCCTGTATTCGAATATGGAGTCACTGTATCTGTACACAATATTGTGTCCAAGGTCTGCAAGTTCTCGAAGTTCCATCGAACCTCGATTTGTTCGTCGATATGTAGAACAATTAGGAGTTCAACGGATGCGTCAACGGTGTACTGTCTGAAGTTATTGACCTTACGCTTGGTAAGCCTGAGAAAATAAAGGACTAAAGGCTTTTCAAATTATTAAGGTATCCTTGTTGAAGAGAAATTTGTGATATCTTGTTACATATGTAGAGGGCTAGTTGCGAGGCAATTTGGAGAAGTGAGCTACTGAGGTGGAAACAAAGACTTGGGAGGACCATCTGAATGCAAAGATCGGCCTGCTGAAGAGCTCAAAATCATGCGTGCATATGAACAAAGAACTGAAACTTAAATTATATATGGCAAACATTTGTGAGGTATTCCTAGTTTGCGAATTATTGTCTTTTTGAAGATATATAGGGTAGAAGCAGGGATGAGTCGCCTTACGCAAGTTGTGGCGTCTTTTCAGCTTGGGGGTGGCCGCGGACTTCTGACGATGCGCTTATTGATACATTGTACTGCACTTGAATCGTTGAGGAATTATGGAAGGAATCTGTAGATTTACTAGATTTTAATGGTACTTCAGTTCTCTTTGGCTGCCTTGGAGGATTTACGTCGTTGAAGAGTGTTGGTGATGAGCAGCCGTTCTATGCAACTTCGTACCTACTCAAAGATGTAACAAATGTATCACATTCTAATAACCACCTCACCTAGACTATCACTTGGCTTCAATTTCATCTACTAGATGTAAATGGACTTCGTTGAAGGATTTCCATTATTGGAGGATGCTGACGCAGAATAGCTTGGTAGGTTAGCTCCATGCAACTGCGCACTCGAAGATGTAGCAAATGCATCAAATTTTAATGATTACCTAGCATTTACCTTCAGTATCATCTACTAGATTTATATGAACTACATTGAACTACGTTGAACGGGTTCCCGTCATAGGGGGATACTGACGCACAATCGCTTGGTACGTTGTAGCTTCATTCAGCCGCGCACTCAATGATGCTGCAAATGTATCATAGTCGGTAACTAGGTGGCAATTATCTTCGATTTCAGCTAATAGATGTATGTTCAAGTATCTGGACGCATCTACATTTGTTAATCGCATTGGCAATGGTGAGGTTAAGCTGGGTCAAATCGGCCCCTGCATCAATCCATATTACAGTCGAGGCTCTTTTTGCGCCCGCTCGCTCAATACTAACATGCACTTATTCCGGCGTATGTGCAATATGCTGGTTAATATAAATAAGCCACAATATAGATTGACTTGCATTGCAGCCGCTGTGCTTCAAACTATTGCCAATTCGCGAAATCACTAGACTTGGTAGGTAATGGCGTAAACATGACTCGGGCACTGGATGGCTTAAGATGCTTGATCGATCTGGTCGCTTATCGGACAATTCTAAAAGGACTCGCTTCCGCATATTTGGGTGCATCGGTCGGCAGACGTCCAATAAGCGGAAAGATCGCCATGAAATCGGTGAAATCGCCCTCCAGGGTCGTATTTGTGTGGGTTAAACCTGCGCCGGCCCAATCCCAACCCCGAACAAGAGACAATAGTGCTGTAATAGAGATCAAGTATGTTGCAATCCATATTTGGCGATTTGCTGTTAGGTGATGGCATAACAAAACGAGTTGCCGAGGCAGGTTTTTTTTTTCCCACCCCATAGAATTTACTCCAGCGGCGGATTCGCCCAGCAGCGGTGAACGATTAGATGCATAAGTCCGCAGCAAGTCGCCCGTAAAACGATCGTATGTCTCGGTCTTGCATGCCGGATTCAGTCCAATCCGAGGCGATCCGGGCCCGGAAAACAAGATCGAGATTGCATTATGCGCTGTATAGCAGTAAGCATGTTAGTAGACGTATCTGTGTAACCATACCGGGTGCGGAGTAACAGCAGCGCTATTTAAAGAATGAAGCATAAAGTACGGATCATGGCGGAAGACACCCCCTCTTCTGCCGTAGCACAGGTTCGGTGTGTGCTTGTTTTGCTTGTTTTGCTTGTTGAGCACCCTTTGTGCTACTTTCTGAAGAAGAATGACTCAACCGTTGGAGTTGGAAGGCCTTGGCGGTGCTCTCTTCCCTCCTGTGCCATCGTTATGGCAAGTTACGGTCGGTCTTTCGTTGATTGCTGGCGTTGTCTCGCACCAAGTTGTCTTTCGGCCGGTTGAAATCGACACTCTCTTGTGGCGATTACTATTCATCTACATCACAGCACTGGCTGCTATTGCTGGAGGCTATGTTCGGATCGGAGGCTATCAGATTGTGGCGGCGGTGCTACAGACCGCCTTGGTTGCAACAACATATACCGTTGGAGTTTTTACTAGCATCTTTGTGTATAGAGCATTCTTTCATCCTCTACAAAAGTTTCCTGGCCCATTTTGGGCGAGAGTCTCTCGGTTTTATGCAATGGGCAAGATGATTCATAGCCGAAAGGGTTACGAAGATATACAGAAGCTCCATCAAAAGTACGGAGATATTGTACGAGTTGGTGGGTGACACAACATACCTCTACTAAAGCAAAGTACATATACTAAACCATGAATCAAAAGGACCGCGCGAATTATCCATCAACCGTCCTTCAGCTATTCGTTCCCTTTATGGGGCCCACGCACAAACGTCGAGACCGCCATGGTATTCGCAGACGTCGAGACACCCAAACAAGTCCTCGCTGATCAACACACGGGACTCGGCAGCACATAAGCTACGAAAGAAGATTTGGGAAAAGGCTCTGGGGTCCAGAGGTACGAAGACGGAAGAGCAATTATCATCTCCCATCTTACAAGCCATTTGATTACTATACTGACATGCTTTGGAAAGCGTTGGACGTGTATGAGTCGCGAGTGCAGGCAAAAGTTGAGCTTTTACTGTCTAAAATCGAAGAGACAAATGGCATCCCGGTCGACATGACAAAGTACTTTATGTATTTTAGCTTTGATGTCATGGCAGATGTTGGTAAGTGGTTGGTCTGATATTGGGTCACGTATTTCAGTACACTAAGAGGTTGCTCACAGGATTCTCCAAAAATTTTAATATGCTTGAGTCGACAAGCATTCATCCTGCCATCAAGGGTGTTCACGACACCATGTGGTTTATCGGGCTCCTGACTACCATACCATGGATGCTATATATGGTCGGCTCGACACCGGGATTGAATAGCCTAAGTCGTTTCTCTATTTGGTGCCATGAACAACTCAACGAGAAGAGAAATGTGAGTCCATTTCTTCATCTCTCTTTGACAGATTTCGTATACTGATAATGGTCACTGTCTGGATTTAGGTACTTTCTGGCGAGAAGGAAAAGGAGCCACAGGACGTCATGTCATGGTTGCTAAAGGCCATGGACAACGGGGACCCTGCGGCACCACCTTCAGAGCGGGCTGTTCAAGAAGATTCTCGCCTTTTGATTATAGCTGGCAGGTATGTCACAATTATTATTCCTTCATTTACATCTACATAAGAGTGAGAAGTGCTGATATCTTATAGCGACACAACCTCTGGAATTTTGACAAGCGCGTAAGTTTTGTCTAAACAGTTTCCTCTGGATTTGACTTGCCTGTTTCTTGTGACTAACATTTGGATTTTTTTGTCAGGTTCCATCTCTTGTTAACCAACCCCCACACCTACGAGCGCCTACTGGCCGAAGTTCAGAAGCAATTCCCAGGAGGCATCAGCGACTGGACATATGAAAAGGCAAAGGCAATTCCCTATCTCGACTGGATCGTCTACGAGTCGCTGCGATTGAGGCCCACGGCCGCAGCAGGAATGCCCCGAGACCTACCTCCACAAGGCATTATGCTTGACGGCGAATTCATCCCTGGCGGAACAATCGCCTCAGTTCCCCCTTATACGATACAGCGAGATCCGCGATACTGGGATGAGCCGCTCGCTTTCCGGCCGGAGAGGTGGGAGAACTGCTCGACGGATAGCGTTCCCTGGATTGCGTTCAGCCGGGGGACGTGGTCGTGTCCTGGGAGGGGTCTTGCCATGATGGAGTGTAGGATGGTGCTTAGCCGCATCTTTTTGCAGTATGATGTTACGCTTCCTTTGGGGATGGGTGGAGATACGTTTGAGGAGGATACTATTGATAATGTGGCCATGGTGGCGCCTGCATTGTATCTCTCATTTACTCCTAGGTAGAGATTACGACTTATGAATGAATGAATAAACTGCATATACCTAGCCTTTTTTTACCCCCTTTGATGTCTATGTAACATTCGGATTTGACGACACATTACTCAAAATTAAGAACCCAGGACAATTTTGTTACTTCAAAGTTTCACAGGTCCAGTGTATTTAGCCTTATTGAAATTGCATTGGCTCTTCAAACTGTCACATGAGTTCTCAGCCGATTTTCATCCATCAATCATCGCCAAATCATCTTAGACTCAACGCCTAGGAGAGCGACGTCCGCCCATGTGAATTGAACCAACTTCAGCACTTTTGCTGAGAAATAACTTGGCTACGGCTGTATAATTTTTTCTTTTTCAAGAATTAAAAAACCTGATTGGAGAAGCTTTACATCATATGTCTGATCTTTCCAAAACGCGTTGCAGGGTTGCTGAAAACGCGTTTGTATTGATACCCCAGTCAACAACCATTTTAACCCACGAAACCCCGGCCTTACACTTCAAACGTGTCTCACTTATACTTCAACAACGTCACAATGGCCGGAGACATAGAACTCATCAATAGCCTCACGGCTGAGCAAGCCCGTGGAATCCTCATTTACCTGTCTCAAAATCGTTCGGTTGCAAAAAAAGTGAGCAAATTAGCAAGAGAAATGAAAACTTCTGCTCGCACGAAGGCAGTATGCGTACAGTGCAGCGCAACATTCGATCCAAGTGATACCGCTAAGAATTGCTTCTACCATAATGGTATGTCGGCGCCGTTGGTTTCTAATGCGCCTCCTTTAGCAGTCCTATTGACTAATCCCTCGCAGGTCAGCTTGAAGCCGACTATGACGGTGATTTTTGGGCCGACCATGATGAGGATTGTCATGGAACCATTGACACTGATGAGATGCGCGAGGAGTTTCCAGAAGGGTTTATATGGAATTGTTGCGATAAAGGCGGAGATGACATAGGCTGTCGGTGGGGCAGACATCAATCAGACCCAAACAAGGTGGAAGACGGGGAAGATGCTGACCTATACGATGATGGTTGGGATGATGATGATGACGACGACGACGACCTTGATGATGAGGATGAAGACGACAAAGAAGAAGTTGCCGATGAAGACCACGGGAATAAAAGAAGTAACGGAGATGAGAGCCAAGATCCAGGGCCCAATAAAAGGCAGAAGCTCTAGATGCAATTGTTTTCTTTGTTTCAGCATTGTATTACTAGACTTTGCGCTTTGCTATCTGGTGGTAAAACGGCCAAGTGCTACGCACATTGACTTCTGCACAAGAGACTCAATATACATGTATTCAATCTAAAACTAACCATCATACTCGTTTCTCTCTACTCTGACAATACCATTCTGTGCCAAGTAATAGCACACGGTCTCAGTGCTTCAGCTCTTTCATCATTTCTTCCGACACCTTCTGGGCAATCATAAAGGTAGGCAAGGCTGGAAACCACCCTGGGACCTTGGGGAACGAGCTTGCATCGACGACTCGAAGCCCACCAACTCCTCGCACACGAAGCTTGTTGTCTAAAACGGCATTGGCGTCACCGTCGGGGCCCATGCGGCACGTACAAGTCGGATGATGGCCAAAAGTCTGTCCCTCGAGCCAAGTTGCGTCAACATCAGGATCAGAGCAGCCGCCATCGGCGTTTAATCCGGGTGGGCATGCGGGTTCGACAACTTCAGCGCCGCTGCGTACAAAGTTGCGACGGATGCGGTTCATTGCCTCCCTCATGGCACTCTGATCAACTTTATCGCCGTCACTGGCGAAGAGATTGAAGTTAGTCTCGGGTCGGTCGCGCGGATCCTTGGTACGGAGGCGAACATATCCGGCTGTGTTTTGCGGGCTGCCTTTGACCATGCCGACACCCCATGTGCCTGGGGGATCTTTTGGCAGATTCTCATTCGTCTGGTTGCTTGGCCAGAATCCACGAAAAGGAACGCCGGCTTGTAGCAACCAGATGTCGTTGTCCCCGTCAACAGAAGCATTTGTCTTGAGTAGAGGATAGCCGAGAACCAATGAAGCGTTAATGTATGCTGCGCCTTGTGCGACAATCGGCAGTTCTTCATTGTCCATCAAGTTTTGACCCACGCCAGGGCTGTCGACTACAACGTCTATTCCGAGTGACTCCAGGTGGTCTTTTGGCCCAACGCCGCTAAGCATAAGAATCTGCGGTGAGTTGAAAGCACCACCGGAGACGATAACCTCGCGACGAGCTGTGGCATTGCGTAGGACGCCAGAATCATCATCGTTATGGCGAATATCACTACGATAGTGCTTTGCCCTGTAGGTATTCCACACCCACCGCTCGTGGTTTACCATGCTTGGGTTTGTCGAAAAGAACACGAGTTGCAAGAGAGTTGAGTTAGATTGCCAGCGGATGGTGTGACGCCGCGGTTTCTTGTACTAGATAGCGAGAGCTATACCGGGTACCGCTGGCATATGTATGTAGGGCGAGGCCGTAAATTACTTCCTGAGTATCGCGACGAGGATCAAGCACATTGGGATCTCTTCTCACCAGGTCAGTGAGCGGCTGTTTCTCCCCAATATCCTCAGCAAGAGCGTTCATGTAGGGGTTTGTCACTGGCTGGGGCTTGCCCACACGGTTGGGCATGGACGCTTGGAAGTAGCCTTTGAAGCCATGGCCGGGGGTTTTCGGGCTTAGATAGTTGTTGTGCTCAATCTTCTCAAATATCGAGCCGAAGTTCTGGGAACTAGATGGATAGGACACGTTCAATGATTAGTAAAAGCATAGGAAGAACGGAAAAAATAGAGGGGGTGGAAGTCTAGGGGGTCTAATGTATGGACTTACCTCCAACTATCATCACCCAGAAGCTCTGCATAGCTATCCCAAAGCTTATCCGGAGGAAGATGTACGTTTAGCCCATTAATCATGGATGATCCACCGAGTGTGGCACCACGAGGATAGTAAATACCAAGAAGCTCAGAGCCCTTGGGCGGGTCTGTCTTTCCGACCCAATAACGACCCTCGGCCGTCATCCAGGTAATGTGATTAAATTCCAAATTGCGCGGATCGCCCTCTGGATAATGCATGCAAAAGAAATCCCAAGTTAATCCAAGAGGATACCCACTTCCAATGATTGGTACATCAGCTCCCTGGTAAGTGCTGTCGTCGCCGGCTTCAAGTAGTAGCACAGAGTATCCTCCTAGGGCCAAATTGGAAGCCATTGTACCACCTCCAGGACCACTTCCTATGACAATGTAGTCGTATTCATTTGTTTTGCCATGGTGGTCGGCCGTAGAAGATGCAGGTGCAGCAGCAACGAGAGAGTTGAAGAATAATAGAAGCTGGGATAAACTCCCAAAACGTTTAGAGGAAACCATCTTTAGTTTCAGTTACGTATCAAAGACTGAGTGATTAAGGCTCTTGAAGAGGAGAGGCAACTTTCAGATTGTTGTGATGTTTAACAACTTCCAACCGACAGTTTATATAGATTCAGTTCGTTGATGCCAAGTCGCAGATTTTCGGCTTACTAAATTATGCTTATATTCTGGTAGTTGCTTTTTCCGCCAGAGACTGAGTTTCCCGCATATTTTCGTTAAAGGGCTTACAAATAAAATAGTTGCTAACCGCAGGTGAGCCATGAAAAGAGCCATCGGACTGATTTTTAACGAAGCATTCACCGACTGATCCGGAACTCTTGCCTAATTCAGCACATTTAAAAATCCCGAACCTTGCCAGCCTACATTCAAGCTTGCTCAAACTCTCATTAATTTAATTTTAGAGAAGCTAAAAAGGTGATATGAATGCCAGTCGATCAAAATTACATCTCTACATTGAGATCGGGAAAGCTATTGCCTCCTGCGGATCGAACAACTGTTCAGTCAATACATGTAATCTCCCAACGTCAGCTAAGATTTCTAACGCTGCATTACAACTCGAGGTTTCATACTTATCTTGTTCTTTTCAGGGTACGCCAATAATATGATACTCGGCACTTAGGAACAGAGTTCAACCTGAACAATTGGTCCTCTTCTGGTTCAGGATATAGTACCAAAAAGTCGATCGGATAGCTGATACAGGCAGGATAACTGGTACGGTATTCAATCGATGCTCTCATATAAAATCATAAGAGGTACTTGTTTGGATCTTGGTGTAGTAAAATATTAAGTTTCGTCTGGAGACAGGTGGTAATTTGTTTTATAGGGATACTATTAATATGGAATGCGTTGATAGTGGCGCATTGTATCTCATATCTACTACTAGGTAGGTTAACACTATAATTTTTATTTCATTTTTGAAAATGCATATGAATGTTTAAGGATAGAATTACAACCTTATGCAATACATGAGACAGGCTCCTAGATGAAACAAAAAAGGTGACTTCTGCTCAGGTGGTTGCTGCGATGTGCGATAAAGCCTGGCGCAATTGAACTGCACACGTACCACTATTTCTCTTAACATAGCTGCTGAGGGAACAAGTGAAATAATGAAACAGTAAATAGTAAGCTTTTTCTGGCAAGACAGTTTTCGCCCAGGCATTTAGACCGGCAATACTTGCATCCTTCCTTCTGCATCACGGCCAGGTACTTTTTATTGAAATATATATTAATTAGCCTTAGTCTATTGCTCTAGTCTGCTAGAAGGACTGCCCTACTTGTACCTATAGCCTAAACTGACCCCTGTTTAACCAAGAACCGCTACTTCTACTAAGTCAGTGCCCCTAATTTCAATAGTTTTAAAGGGAGGGTCTTGCCATTGATATATTGCTTCCGTGCTCCAGTTTTCTCTCAGAGGATACCGCTCTGGATTCAAGAGTGAGTCCAACGAACATTGATCGTGTAAATCCAGTAAGTAGTTGTTAGCGCCTCTAGTGATTAGGAATCGAACGAGCCGACTGTTTCCAGACTCAATGGCGTAAGATAGTGGCGTCCGTTCTTTAAAATCGACTGCCTCGATGTTAGCGCCGTTGTTGAGGAGTAACTGGACGAGATCAATATCTCCACGTATAACTGAAAAATGAAGCGGCGTACGTCCACTTTCATCTTCAGCTCCAGTATTGGCTCCTTGATCCAAGAGAACTTGTATAATATCCCTGTAGCCCATTTCTATGGCTAATAATAGTGGCGTCATATTATGACCCTCTCTCGATTCAATATCGAAACCGGAGTCAATGAATAGTTGAACAACTTGTAAATCGCCCTTTTCCACAGCAGAGAAAAATAATTTGGTGGACATCTTATCTCCTGATCTGGGAGTCGCTCCGTGCTTGAGCAGTAATTTGACGATGGCTTCTCGTCTGTAGGACATGGCGTAAAACAACGGCGTGCCACCAATGTTATCCGTTACCTCAAGTCGAGCCCCAGCCTTGATAAGTGTCTCAACCACAGCTGCATTCCCATGCCAAATAGCATGAAACAGCGGCGTTCGACCCGAGGCGTCAATAGAATTGATCTCAGAAACATTGCCTAACAGGAGTAAGGTGAATTTTCTGCGCCAGCTTCGACGACCTCGAGCCAATAACTTGACAACATCGTCAAAGCCGTTTCCAGCAGCCCAGGAAAGTGCTGATCGTTCGTACGTCCCGTCTTGAGCGTTTAGTTCTTTATCATTGCCCATGTTAGATAATATCATCTTTACCATTGCATCGAGTCCAAAATATGACACAACCATGAGCGTTGTAAGTTTAGAGGGGAGGTTTGTATTTGATTTCTTCTCCCAAAAGATTGAAAGCCAATCCATGCAAATTGTTGAATTAACATCACATATCCTCATGATAGACTTCGCCATGGACTCGCTGATCTTGGTGTGCGATTCTCGGAGATGCATAGCCCAATAGTTGGCGGAATAGTCGAAAAGAATCCTATTATTCGTGGGCTGGGACTCAAGATCCTCCAATAAAGACCTATAAAAGTCATCAGAGAGGAGAAGGCAAAAAATGCAGATCTCGGCCAGCATTTTGTGGGATTTATGAGGCAATAGAATATGCTTCCACTGAAGGTTCGGGTTAATGTAATCAGTTGAGAGTAACTCATTGTTCCGAACTAAGAACTCTTTCGCAGTCTGGTGTAGGAGATAAACCCTTGAGTGAATGATCATTACCAAAAGTCCGCAGGTATCCCGTATATTTTCCCTCAAACGATCTTCGCTTTTGAAGTCAGCATCATGACGAGGCCGATGATAGCCCCGGACAGATATTTAAAGAAGAAATAGCACACCGTTGTTTTTGGCGTAGTCAAAACGATGCTGTCGACTAAATATTTCACCAGGACTGACTTGCCGCACCCTGGGTCAGCAGAGACCCAAAGGAGTCTTGAAGCAGGGCTATCTCTCCAATCTTGGAAAAGGTGGTGCTGAATAAACCATTCGCATGTTCCAACTACTCTGTCTGGGTTTCGATCTTTGCGATCTCGGTAGGGCGAGGTATTGAATTTTTTCATTATCTCCAACTCTCTCGTTTCAAACTGCCTCGTCTTTAGATACTCAGTAGAGTTATCTTGTGAGTGCTCAGGCAAGCTTGCTGGTAAGGAAATGGTTACCGCCGATCTATGAATGGTCGTACATCGGATTCGAAGAGCAACACTTACTTATTTCCCAATGTTCCAAAAAGGCTTTGGTAGCGGCAGCCGCTGTGGCAGCTGCGTAGGCCTGCCATGTTTTGTTTTTGTGGCTGTCTGCGTAGTCACATACACCTTTGATGACTAGAGCGGCTGGAAATGTCTCCCATACTCCCGCACCCTCCATTTCGAAAGCGATTACTTTGTCGCGGGTAATAATATGATCTCGGACTTTTCCAGATCTCATGACGGTGTCTCCTGTGGCCACAAGTCCGAAGTGAACACTAGGTTGGGGCTCGTTTGATGCATTTACTATCCGGATGCGATCCAGTCCTCTGCATCCAAGCTTCTCACAATTTGTTTCCATAGCCGAAGAGCATAACTCATCTCTATAACATACTACACATACTGACGGCCGACGGTGCTTGTGGAGGTATTTCAGCATGAATAATCGGTCATTCATCGCTCCCGGGTATGGTATCGTAAGATCAGATCGCTGACGCAATAATTGAAGATGTTCCAGCATTTCATTCTGCAATTGTTGCCGGCCTTGGTCAGTCTGTAGTTTGGCTAGAATCGCACGAACTTCAGGTCTCGGCCTTGGTAGGTTTTCTCCAGGGGTGTCCTTTCGTACAAATGTGTTAGGCAATCGCCTCCCGAGATCGTATTGAACCAGTCCTTCACTGATGACAACGTCGCCAAGGAAAAGTTCACCAGAGGGCCCGAAAGGCGCGCCACCACATATTCCGACCACCAGTGCAAGCTGAATTCCGCGAAAGCTGGTGCGAAGGTTGGCGGCGGCAACTGCGGCGGCAACCTTTCCCATGTTGGCCATATGCACAAGAACAACGTTGTGAGACCCAAGAACACCGAGTGAGTAAGCGTTTGTGTCTACTTGGTCTTTTCCATACTTTTCAGCGTCCCAGTGGGCATCAAATACTCCTTGGAGGGCGCTTGCCTCCAGCGGCAAGGCACAAAGAATAGCGATCTTGAACTCATGCCGACTGCTCGGCGGGGTGTGATTATCTGACATTGGTCGGGTTTGCTAATAAGATGTCGATTTGGTATGATGAGAGGTAACAAGTTGGTCATAAAACGCGTTTAGATTGTTAAATTTGGCTTGGGCATCAATGAAGCTGTAAGGATGAGGCTCTCGAGACGGCACAGCCGGAATTGGGTCGCGCCCAATGGGGTGCAGGCGGACGTGACTTTCAAATACTAGGTACCGCGACGCGATGGGCCGCATTTGTCCAATAACTGCTTATTCAAGGCAGTCTCCGTCGATTTACAACTCGCGCGTGCTCATTGGAGTATTCGTTGACTAGCCTATGAGGTAGGGCAAAGCGAGACGGAATACGCCGTATAAGCCACCATTCATTCTCAACAACCCAGCAGGAATAACGAGACTGTGTGGCAATTTTCTTTGGTCAATTAAAAATAATGCTATGATAATTAGTCATTAACACCCAAAGCGAATAGCAATAACTCCTTCGCAGGTCAATCACTTGGATATATAGAGACGAGCTAACTATTAAACTGTGTAATCAGTCCGTCCTCACGCAGTTTCATAAATCTCTGTAGCTTCGGCGCAGATTGACAACGCTTGCTTAGAGAGTTCCCCGTAGTCTACTATATACTTCTTATTAATCATTCCGGCCTTTAATTCAGCAATGATGTTGTCGCGAAGCTTTTTCTCAATCTGACGCATAGAAATGATTGCTTTACGATTCCCCTCTTATCAGCATGCAACGCACAGTTCAGAAGCACAATATGGCACACTAACCATTGGGCAGACGATCCAGAGGAATATCTGTCCTGGCAGTTAAACTGTTTAACTTGACTATTATATCAGAAATCGTCTTCTCTAAGTTTTTAGCGCCGTCGCCAGACTTGGAGCGGCTTGTGGTGAACGCGGAAAAGAAAGACCCTCTTGATCGGGAGGTTTCTTGGAGAATGGATTTGCTCTCATTGAAGTCGACTTTGATCTGCGCCAGGATATCCAAGGCGCCGATGGACTCTGTAGATCCGCTCACATGAAGCGTTTTGCGCTGTGGAGGCATTGAGAGTGGCATTTAAGGAACAGTGATTGAATGGTGCTAGAGGTTTGTCAAGTTTAAGAATACACGTATTCGGTCAACCGTTGAACTGAATATTAGCGCCAACCGCTGCCTGTTTCAGAGTGGAAGTGTTATCAGTTACAGGCTGAAATGCTTGTTACGCGACTATTCGGTTTAGCTGCTGACGTCCTGTGTTGCATTAGAATGAACAAGCTGTAATACTATCGGCTATGCGGTATATATAAGCCTTAGGCGTCAATTTAGGCACCCTTGCAAGCAACACAAAGGCGATCTCTCAGTATGCCTACGGATCGCATAGCCTCACTTTAAATGAGGCTGAGGCCCGGCAATCAGTCCTGCATTGCAGCAGCGTGATCGAATGGTGTTGTGGGCCTGATCGCCGGCTTATATTCTCAAAAGTCTAGTGATTGGTCTATTTAGCCTTTTGTAGAGTTGTTGAATACGTTTCTACGTCCTTGTGTCCGATTTTGTACTCTGGAAGTGTTGTTGAGTCCATCTTACCACATTTGCGCAATGGCCGCTCCTAAAGCTGACGGGGTAATCACCGGAGACATGAACTATGAGCAGCGTCTCTTCCAATACACATTGAGTACAGGAGCTGAAGAGCCTCACTTTATAATGTTCCGAGGTCTTCAAAGACTCAACATTATTCAGTTACAAATTGAACTCGCAAAAATAAAGAAGCTTTCCTCGGAAACCAAGCAGCTGCCAAAGACTAAGAGCGAAGAATTAACGAAACTTCTTCACGACTATAGTAAGATGTTCACGTTTATTCATTGTATCATTAAGTGAACTACTAAGATTAATCTATAAGGCAGCTAACGCTATCCGCGACTACGAGTACCTCAACACACTAATCCCCATCACCGGATCTCAAGCCCGAAACCAGCGCCTCGACATTGAGCAAGCTTTTGCCGAAGTGGGAAACCTATCCGAAGACCCAGGAACTTACCGTCGACTGCCGGACACTTCGATGCTAGCTAGCGACCCACTCCGCGATATCCTCAAGGCCGTTCTTCCAAAGTCTCTGACGTACACCAAGAGGGAGATACAGAGGCGGACACCAGAGTTTCTCGAGGGCCAGCCGCCTGTTGAAGTGTCAGGATTTGTGGACAAGTTGGCACGGTTTATTGTTGCATTTATTGGTGGTGCGGCGCTTGTGGTGCCGATGTTGATTATGAGGTTGCCTGAAGTCACATTAACGAAGAGCTTGGTTACAGTGTCTGTTGCGGTGTTGCTGTTTGCTGTGGTTCTGTCACTTGTTCTGAGAGCATCTAACACGGACACAATGGTATCTACGGCGACATATGCCGCAGTTTTGGTAGTCTTTGTGGGAACAACTTCATAATGACTAACTATGAGTTAGAATGCGAATATCTATAATTTTCTGTTAATTTGATGATGGCTTGATACAGTAGTCCCAAGTGTGGCCAACTAGAAGGCCCTTAGAAGTTCCATTGCCTCTGCCACACCATCATTCTCCACCGCCAAAATATCTAGTCAACTAGTTTCCGCTCAAGTGCCACAGCCCAGCTCTTTCGCCTTTGCTAAATATAATTACTCCGATGAATCCCCTTTTAATTCTCCATTTCCCAGATGAAAACTTGCCAATAACCTCTGCACTATGCTTATTACGCAGAGCCCCCACTAAGCCGACCCTGGAACAATCCCCGATTTTTTGTCCAAATAAACCGACGTCATCTGCTGGCGACTCATGCAAAGTGGGCAGGAGGTGGGGAAGGAGGGGTTCAGAGGGGTCACGGATGGACTTGCCTGCGCAGAGCCAAAAGCCTCAGTGCGGCAAGAGTTGCCATTCTTTGGCAAATGGCCTCACCGTTGCTTCTTTCCTTTATGGCATGATGATTGTTTAGGTAGTCACGATGAATTCAATAGGTAATTGCTGGATGGCGAATTTGGGGATTCTGCATTAATAATGAATCGCAATTGGTGGATAACAAGTTGCCTACGTATAGCTGCAAATTGAAAGAGTATAAATATCCCCTTGGAGCTTTACTTCTCTTCCAAGCTCCAATTCAATCTATACCCACCTCCTGTCGTACCATCTCTCATATTGCATTCTTCTCAGCAGCAACAACACCATCATCATCACCACAACCAGCACAATGGCTAGCAAGACCTTCAACGTCGGTGTCGTGGGTTACGGGTAAGTAACACAACAAACCCCAATTGCAAATCAACAAACCAAATAAGCAAGCAAAACTAACATACATACTCTCTCCTCCTCCAGCCTCTCCGCCAAAGTCTTCCACATCCCCTTCATCACCACAACTCCCGGCCTCAAGCTGCACTCCATCGTCCAGCGCTCCCCCAAGGCCAACGACTCCGCCCCCGCCGACTACCCCGATCTCAAGCACTACACTTCCTCCGACGACCTCATCGCCGACGCCGACGTCGATGTCATCGTCGTCACCACCCCGCCCGACAACCACTTCGACCTGACCAAGAAGGCCCTCGAGTCCGGCAAGCACGTCCTGACCGAGAAGCCCTTCGTCCCCACCTCCGCCGAGGCCCAGAAGCTCGCCGACATTGCAAAGTCCGCTGGAAAGCTCATCTGCGTGTACCAGAACCGCCGCTGGGACGCTGACTTTTTGCTGGCCAAGCACCTCATCCAGACGGGCGCCCTCGGTCGTGTCCTCGAGTTCAACACCCACTTCGACCGCTACCGCGCCGACGCCCCGACCAACTGGAAGGGCCAGCTGGGCATCTCCAAGGGCGGCAGCGCGCTGTTCGACCTGGGAACACACCTCATCGACCAGGCCTACGTGCTCTTCGGCCTTCCTCAGTCCGTCCACGGCCGCCTGCTCAACCAGCGCGAGGGCCGTCCCGAGTTCGAGACCCCGGACGCCGTCGTCGCACAGCTGACCTACCCGGACGGCCTACTCGTCAACGTCAACATCAGCGCCCTCAGCGCAGAGGTCGACCAGCTGCGCTACTGGGTTCGCGGCACAAAGGGCAGCTTCCGCAAGTTCCACCTCGACCCCCAGGAGGACTACCTGCGCGCCGGCGGCAAGCCTACCGACTCTGGGTACGGCATCGAGAGCACCGACCGGAGCAGCCTGACTGCTGTTGACGAGACTACGGGCAAGTCTAGCCAGGTGCCTGTCCCCGAGCTCGCTCCCGAGACGTACCGCACTTTCTTCAGCGAGTTTGCCAAGGCCCTGCAGAGCGGCAAGGCTGAGGATATTCCTGTCAAGGCTGAGCAGTCAAGGGATGTGCTGAGGATCATTGAGGGTGTTTTGGAGAGCGCAAAGACTGGCAAGGACGTTGTTCTTGCTTAAGCAGGGAGATTGGGTGCGAAAGAAAAAGGGAAGATTTGAGTGCATAAGATTGTATAGATGAATTTTGTATATACCAGCTGTACACGTAAGAGCAGCAAAATGTCAATGAAGTTTACGTCAAAAAGTATTGGAAAGATTGATTTCAATTGTATGAAGCATGGTTGTCATGAAAACGGAAGCATTGCATCCGATTGGACTTGTTACAGCCGCCTTAAAGACAAATATTGAGAGTTGGCAAGGTAGTATGGCAAGGAAATGGTTTACATGTTCTCAATATGAAAAAGCCACCCCGCGTAACAAATATCACAGCCAAAGAATATACGTGAGATGAAAAAATTCGTCAAGTTGAAAAAAAGAAATGATCATGATTCTATACACGCTGTCGCTATGGCGAGTTATATCCTATCCCTATCCATTCACCCAGAAGAAGAAAAATAAAATTATCCTTAAAAATGTAGAAGCCCAGTTTTACATGAGCAAAACCGCACACACCACCGCCGCCAACGCCGTCATCATCGTCGCACTACCAGCCGATCTCGTGCCCATGCTCTCAATCTTAATAGGCGTGCCGAACAAGGACGGGTTGTATTCGGCAGGCTCCTGTTCCGCGAGCGTGCCGTTCCAGCAGTACTGCTGGAAGCACTTGTTGCAGGCATCTGGCACGGGTGTTCTAGTGCGCTCGAAGCTGCGGGACAGCATGGCGCAGCCGACACACACAGGCCAGTTGGAGTCGCGCGTCGAGTTGCCCTGGGTGACGACGTCCCAGCCGTTGGTGACAACGGCGTTACGCTCGTCCAGCTCGTACGACATCGTGAAGGTGGAAATGTTGGAGTTGAACTGGTAGGGGTAGTTGGGTATGTAGACGATCAAGGGCGATTCGCTCGTCACGTTGGTGGAGTTGCAGCCAAAGAAGACGGGCTTGGTGTTGAAGCCGAGGTTGAGGAACGTGTTATGGCCAGGGACGTAGGGGAATCCGGTTCCATTAGAGATCTTGTCAATGGCACGCTCGTATGTGGCAATAGGAGAGGCACCATTAGGCCAGGCGTTGTCGGTATCAGCCGATGAGTCGACGGAGAAGACGACGTCGACCTTGCGCTCCTGCAGGAGGTGAGGGTGGTATGGGATATTCTGCAGATCCTCACCACCGTCAACCAGCGTCAGTCGGGTGCTGCCAGCGCCGGGGTTATTCTCTGGGTTCCAGCCCTTGAAGGGGTTGGGTGTCCAGTCTGCAATATCGTTGTTATCGTTGCCGAGGACAGTCAAGATACCGCTGACGATCTTGATGACGAAATCAGGGATTCCCTTGGGAACAAGAGTGCTGTTGCCGTCCTGGAGATAGAGGATAATCTGGTTGAAGAGAGTACTAGAAGTGCCCATGATGTAGCCGACGTTGTCAAAGCCAACCATACAGGACTCGTTCTTGGGCAAGGAGCCATTGGCGAATTTGGAGCCGGCGTACTTGAGTGGCACGTAACCATTGAGGGTTGGGTCAGATGAGCCCATCTCCCAAGGGTTGATATCGAAGACGGTAGAGTTGTTGGAGATGATGACCTGACCCGGTGCACGACCATCTGCAACAAGGAATGGGAGAGGCGTTTGTGCGTTTTTAAAGTCGGGGTCATCGGCAATGGAAGAGAATGTGAAGCCAGGGCCGCCATTAGTAGCATCGACAAGCTGATATGACAGCATGCGACCCCAGTAATCGGTGATGGAGCGGTCGTAGCCAGCATCGTCCTTGGCATCAACGTCGTCAAAGATTTCATTGTAGTAGCCAACCAAGCTATACTGCTCAGGTCCTGGAGTCTCATGTCAGCCTATGTGATTCAGATATGTTCTGGGTTCTCCTGACTTCGACCTACCTTTCAGAATGTTGTTTTGTGTCTGCCAGATGGTATCCGAGTTGAGAGCATCCTGAATAGTGGTGAAGTTGTTAGTGTAGATGCTGCCAACCAGCCAGCCACCTCCAGACAGGCCGGAGAGATAGGTTGCACTCTGTAGCAGACCGCCCAGAGCACCTGTGTCATTACTACCGGGTGACCGAGAATCCCAGGCGGCAATGGCTCCGGCTCCGTTCAACATGGCTCGGTAGCCACCTCCAGAAACGGCCAGGCCGATGTTGGGCAACGCCCTGCTGTCCTTTTCAACATTGGCCAGATACCTGTCGCTGTTGAAGCCAGGGATGGAGACTCGATTCAGAAATGCACGGATGGGTGCAATGGTCGCATTGCGTCTCCGAGGAAGCCATTCCCTCTCCTGGGGACTCAGCTCGGTGCCGATGCGAATCTGGGGGCGAGTGCTGGGGCAATCGACTGGGGAGGGCGCATAGCCCTTGGGTGACTGATCGGTAGCTCGGCCCTCGAGAGACCGGGGGAACTCTTGGAAATCACGATAGCGAATGTTGTCAGGAGGTACTGAGAGGGAAAGTGTATGTTAGCTTCATGTCCTTCATAGTCCATGTGCGATTCATGTATCTGGTTTGTTCTCGAGCCGGGCGGATGGAATAAGAAGACGGCAAGTATCCATTGACCAGATTCCCGGCAATGGACACTCATTACAGCTGAGATTTATTCAAAAGCAGAGCCCGTAAATCCGTTCTCCTGTTTTTTTCCTCCTGAATTCAATAGCACCTAATGACTAGATTCGTACCTGCAGAAGCCCCGGCCGGCGCCAGGACAGCCGCCGCAGCGAGCAGAACCGCCAAACGGCTCATGGTTAAAGTTGAAAGAGGTGTTTTGGAGACCCAAAGATGTAATCTAGCAGTCTTAAATAAGAGAGTAATTTGCTGAAAAGAAAATTTCCTGAGATAAGCTCAAGGCAACAGGACAAGAGGCCAAAGAACAGCAAACGGCTCGCTCGGGCGAGGACGGGAGAGTGAGCAAACAGAAAACGAAGCAAAAATTATGGCCAAGATGAAAATATCAGCTCAGATCATCCAGTGGCATGAACGCCGAGAACAAAACAACACCCGATGACGGGATCAAAGAGGGACCCTGCGGAGATTTATTCCTTCTGTGAATCGACCCAAGGTACCAAAAAAGTATTATTAGCACGGCACCTTTTCTTACCAGCCCTTTCGAGGAACCCATTGCGGTGGCTTAGTCGATGTTTGTGGCCCTCCACAACGTGCTAGTTCGCTCTCCGCTAGATCATCTCACTTTTGGCAGCACCCTCCGTGCATCATGCGGATCCGAACAAAGTAGCAAGTCGATCCGCGCCAGGGCTCCATCGCTCTGCGTCAGGCCAAGAGAGGCGGTAGGTTTGCGCGAATGTGCTCGCACTGCCTGCTTGGTGGCTTGCCAGCGCTATCCTATCGACCATGAGCGTCAAAAAAGTCCGGATGGCGCTTATTTGGCTTCCCGTGCCTCTCCGGCGCCATCATGTCATTGTCCGTCGTTGCCCAGTCCAGTCCAGTGCCCATGGCCAACACTACACAACACAGCACAAGCATAGCTCTGGCAAGGGGAAATTAGGGTTGCGGGCGGCCGCCGCCAATGGCACGCATGTGAAATTTGAGTCGCCTCCAGCCGCCAATGGAACCGCCATACCAAGGGCTTGCCAAGGGACCAGCCGCTTCACATCGTTCCTTGGCGGGCTTTTGCACTGTGACGCTGTGACGAAACTGAGACCCGGTGAGGGAGATGGCATGTGGTCCCGTTGAAGGAGCGAGGCGGTGCCATGGGAGCACAAGGGAGCACAAGCAACGGTCGAGGGGAGCCACTGAGCCGGAGCTAGAGCATCATTCTGCGATCTCTTTGCCGCGGTTTTTGCCCATCTTGGATAATTCCTCACAGCAAGCAGCCTGGGTACGGAGCCCGTAGAGCCCGTAGATTTTAACTATCTGGCCGGCGGTTTAGCGTCCAACTCCGGCGCCTCTTGGGCGTGTGTGCCTGAACTCTGTGAGAAGGACAAGTTCAAGTACGGGGTTGATTGTGTCTCAGCAGCCAACCACTCGGCACTCTGAAGCCACGATGTGATGGATCTGCATGAAAGAGAAACAGCAAAAAGAGCTGCTGTTGGACCATGGCCAGCGCAACGCTGCACTGTGCAGTTGCAGTTGCAGTGCTCGTACGCACAGATCCGCGGGTCAGCAGCAGACAGGACAGAAACGCCCAGGATGAAACCCTGTGAGCAGATTGGCGTTTCACCCCATCTGCCCGTGCCCATTGCCTGAAAGGGCAGCAAAATCCCTGCAGGCACCGCACAGGCGTGTGGAATCTATCGCGTGGGCGGAGGAGGCGCCACCTTTTGGCCCCAGAGAGCTGTCGCCCGTTTGCTGCCCAAGAGGGTCGCCGATTCGAGGGTCCGAACATGACATGGGCGGATTCGAGATTTGACAAATCGAGCATCGACAGCCCGGAATTTGATTCCGCGAAGTGTCCGGGTTTTGCAATGAATCGAGGCAAAAAGATATGTCAGTTCCTAGGGTTCTAGATAGGATTACAGTTACCTAGGTCGGTAGTAGATTACCGGAGGGCAGAAAAACAAGAGGCCTCTCTCTCTCTACCGCCCTCGGCACATCTGTTTCTCCCTCCCTGAAACCTCGCGACCTTCCACTTTGTCCCTCCCAACACAGCACACGAGACAATTCCCCTTTATTTCTTTTTTTTCTCGAATCATAGTCAAATCCTCCGTCAGCCAAGATGCAAATCCCACCAACCGCATGCCCACCCGAGGCTGAGCTGGCAAATGAGAAATAAGGACAGACACCACACCGCCCGACCAAGGCTCGGCTGACCACATGGCTGTGCTTCTTCCCAAGCTTTTTCTGCGCTACTGTACTCCGTTTGAGTATTACTGCACTGCTTGGCTGCTCCGTCCATACGATACGAGTCGCACGCAGCACACGCTTGGGCAAAAGTTTCTCTATCTCTTGATTGATGTCATGGCAACTCTCATCTCCTCCGATCTTTTGCTCTGTCCTTTCCTCCAAATCCCGCGGATGCTCCGGGAACCGAGGCGCTCAGCTCAGGCCAAATCACGATGGATCGTCGTCAAGTCCGCAAAACTAACGTCAGAACCACAAGGGGCCGCTTCTTCTGAATCCCGGATCCCGCCATCGAGGTTCTCTACTACTAATATTGAGTCGCAGCGCTAACAAGCCCCCCCCCCAAGCTAATGCCAGTCGGCCTGGCGCCCTGCCGAGCTTGCCGAGCCCAGCCCAGCCAAGCCCCCTGGTCCCTTTGTCGCCGACCAACCAGAAGCTCGACGTCAAACGGTCTCGGAATGTTGCTGTAGCCCTAGGTCGGGCATATCGGAGTCTTGCCGAGGCGGCGATGGCTCTTGGCTTTGGGTTATGCACCAAAAGATAATCGTAGTAGAGGCTTTGCTAGAACAAGAACAAAAGGATCGTAGTATTGCGTAATAACAGTTGATTATCTGATATAATTCGCTGTTTTGGATGTTGTGGAGAGACAAAACGTCGTCTCTCAGATGCACGGAGTCCGCGCAAAGGTGCCAACCACACGCAGCCGGGGTTGTACAAAGAAACGCCCAACCCTCTTGCAGACGCAGATTGCCTTTGTCTAATTTCCCGCCGTTGGTAGGTGCTGGTGTTGCTTGAGGCCTCCGAGGATAACCACATGCAGGGCAAAGTAAATCTATAGAGTGGCTCATGAATAGACGAGTAGAATCCCTGGCATCACTTGTAATTACTTCTTTGTCGGGGCAAGGAGTGAAACACGACTGTACCATTTTCCAGTTCATCAGACAAGATACTAGCAAATACAACTTCGTAGACGCTCACATTGTGTGAGGGGGTTATTTCTTTTCAGGAGAAGGGGAGAATATGTCTATTGGTCTTTTTAGGGGCACTTGGAACTACTAGGTATGGAGCTGCTGCCCAGCACTCCATCTTGGCTCTCCAGCAGGTGTGTGGCTGTGGGATTCAGCATCATAGCGAGATGCAGAGGACTTCTTGTAGTGGGCGGGCTGTGTTGCCATAACCTAATGAAGTAATTTCTCCTAGTATCTGGCTCAAGTCACTGCATCCTCGCAAATTACAACCGTTTCCAAGTTCTCCGAACAAAGCCTAATCTAAACTCCCCATATCTCTTTACATGATTATTCAAAGGCCACAGATATCATGTCCTTGATACTGTTACAGCTAGGCCAACCAAGGCGAGGCCTCCCACGCATGGCCCAATTCCTGCTCACAACGGAAAGTGGAATCATATTGCTCTCCCAGAAGTTCTCCCCAGATGTATAGACTATCCAGGCCAAGAATAGTGTTCCTGTTGTCTCCTGATGTAGATAGAGCGAAAACCATACTGATATACAAGCAACAGACTTTGATAACTTCTTTCTTGTTGAATTGTCTGTAAGTCTTCTTCAGTTTCTTGAAACCCCCTTCTTGCTCTTGTTAACGTCTCCCTTTTATGACAGTACATCCGAATCAGCATGACTTTATCCAAGCCCCTATTCCACCTTACGTCCCTCGTCTCGAATATCCACCATCTACACAGATGATTTACTACACTGCCATTCAAGCACAGAAAGATTGAAAGTTTGTCTGAAGGAACTTCTCGCAGCAGCAACTACAATTGCTCCTTCAACCCGCTTCCGGTGTATTCAACAGCTAGTGTCCGCGCCGAGATCGAACTTGTTTGTACGATCGAAATATTGCTCACCTCTGTCTAGTTATATCATATGATGCTAGCCACGACTAACATCTCGATCCTCCGCTACAGCATTTTGTGGTCATATAGTCCGTAATGATCCTGTGCCTGTATCAGATTTTGACCTACGACTAGATACTGCTGTCTTGCTCTCATCTGCATCCCCTGAATCTCCATGCTACTTGTATCCCTTGACTTCTTTCGTGTAACCATCTAGGGGCTCTTTCTTCTTCAATGTGAGACCGGCAGTGGCGTTTTCGTACAACCTTATTCAATACGAATCTCGTATCGTTGTTTCAACTCAAAGTTTGTCCCGGGCCGTTTAGAGGGCAGAACCCCTCTTCAATGACACCGCTGGCATCCAAATAATTCAAATTGTAGAAATGTGAGAAGATGTATTACTCCAGGGATAGCATGTGACATGACCTTGAGCTGCTATCGACACTCCTCTGGAAGAGCCCCTCTAAGTTTGACATAATGAGATGGGCATACCACACTATCTTCAAGATACGTGCGGTTCCAAATCAGAAGTCAAGAACATACCCCGACCGCCACATTATGCCCATGTCTACTACACGATACGATACTAGTCATTCGTTACTTGGGCTTCAACGCATTACGCAAGTCTCAACGGGTCCTATCGAGCTCTAAAACAGGACATTATTCCATACAGCTACACTTGTTACATTTATAGAGTTAAACTTCAAAAAGAAGATAAAGAGCCTGTGCGATTAGTCTGCTTCCCCAAACGGACAAACATGAAAAGAAGCCTATTACGAAGCCATGTTAACAGCCTAAAAGTGAGGTAATGTGAAAATCCCAAAGTCCGGACCAAATGTAATTTGGGCTTTCTTTCTCGTTTTGAACCCCGAACTGAACACTATCCGTCGAATAAATCCTGTAAGTAAGACTTCATGTTACTTTGTTCCCTATTACAGTCTGCTGAGTATGTTTGAGTAAGGGCAGCTGGCCCAAGTTACGTGACCAATGATTACGCGCCAGGGGGGGGAGGCGGAGGGGGCTGATCGCTCGGAGGAGGAGGAGGAGCATCTCCAGAAGGAGGAGGAGGCGGCGGTGCTGATCCTGAGTACTGCTGGATGAGAGCGTTGAGAGGACCAAGACCTGGGGGAGCAGATAGACCGGCAGCACCCGCCTGGGGGAGACCAGGAGGCGCACCCATACCAGGTGCAGCGCCATAGGCACCGTACGCAGCAGCGTAGTTGGCATACCCACCCATTCCAGGAGCCTGGTGCTGCGGTGCTTGGTGAGCCTGTTGATGCCACGGAGCCGCTCCTCCAGATGAAGAGTCATAGTTCTGTTGTCCATAGTAGTTGTTTTCGCCGCCGTGACCGTTGCCGTTGCTATTCTCGTGGCCGCGATTGCGATCGCGTGCCCAAGGAGCCGCAGAGCCTCCGCCGTTGCCTCCGTCATTAGAGTCTTGGTTGCGGGATCTCCAGGGCGCGGGTCCACCAGTAGGTCCTCGTTGCCATGGCTTCGCTTCGCTGTTTCCATTGTAGTTGTTGCTGCTTGGGCCGGCCTCGATCTGCGCTGGGGCAGCTCCGGAGCCGCCGCCGAGTTCTTGCATGAGTTGCTGAAAAGGGGCGTTAATAACTGGATACCATTCTGGGGGGAAGGGATAGCTACATACCTCCATTTCACGATCAACAGCATCGCCACCTCCGATCCTACCTGCAGGTCTAGCACCACCCGCATCGTTGCGCCAATTGGCACCTCTCTGGCGATCCGGACAATCTCTAGCCATATGGCCGGCATTGCCACAGACTCGACAGATGATGCTGGCGGTGTAGTTCTGTCGCTCGGGACAATCGTACTTGCGATGTCCAATCTTACCACAGTTCTGACAGGCTTGGTTCTCGTCATCTCGAAGAGTTCCGTTGAGGGCCGCAAGTTCTCGAAGCTGGTTACGCTTGAGTTCGTTTTGGCCTTCAGGAATGGAAGCTGCCTGTAATGGAGTATTAGCACCAAAGGGTATGAACATGATCGACGC